ATTTTTTAACATGTCTATGGACCCTCTTTGACCATCGATGGGATACAAGAAATAATTTGATTCTGCATCAAAATCAACTTCCTTCCAGTGATGGATGGCCAGGTTCAGGTGCCTGTGGGATCACTGAACGTAGCATTCTCAGCTGATATCTCATTCCATCTTCAAGAACTGACTTTGGGGTTAACTTCAGGCTTTATCATGACTGCACACTTGCTCACACCTCTTGCCTGGCAACTGTTTGTTGAAGAAACATAATGGTCTAAGGATGGAACCACCATCTTTGAGCCCTGATATCAAACTTACTAATCAACTGTGACATGTATTGGAGTGTGCAATGCAAAGGAGAACCAACCCCATAAAAACGTGGACCAACTCCCCCAACTTGTTTAAGAAGAATGGGACAATATCCCACAAAACAAAATTGTACCCTTGTTGAAGGCTTGTCGCGCTATCTACAGGAAATAATTGCAGTACGCGGTAGACGCACACGCTGTTAGGCACGTGATCTTTAATGAGCACACCCTAATGCTAATTGTGTGTGAATTTGGTGACATTTGATGGCGTCTTTTCAATTTTATAGTCATTTCTTTACATCTTTAGAAGTCACAGTGAAACAGTCGATTTGAGGGGGAACCTCATAAATTTTACTAAATGGTATAAAATATATATATTTTCACCACTATTTTGTATTTTTTAAACCATTAATCATGTTAGACACGGTATACGTAATAAAAAGCACTATTTCTAACACTCAACAGCTGTTAGGTGATCATTTGTAAATAAAAGTACATGGAAATGGGGGTGGGACAACCTTTTTGACCAATGCTGTACATTCAGATTGTAAGGAGGGGGATGCAATATGACAAATAAAAAGTCAGCTCACTAATTTTGGCAATCGCAATACATACGTTTTGCCCGGTCTCCAACCACCATAAATAGGCCGTTATATTTTCTAATTGATTTCTCAATTTCTCCACGTCCTCCCGTAAGATTGTGAGATTAACAGTCAGCGCCTGAAATAGATTTTAAATATATATGAGGTAAACCAGGCCCGTAGCCAGCAATTTTAAACGGTGATTCTTTTTCTGAAAAAAGTGGACCCTTTACCTTGAAACCTTCGTGTATCTTTATCAAATTTTACCCAGGGTGGAACTCACCCCACCCCACCCCTAAAAGGGCGGTCCGTTCGCCCCCCTCGTTTTATTTAAGTGCGCTTCGATATTATTATTCTAGACCGAATATTACCTCAATGCGGTCTTCTTCTCCGGATGTATATTTTGTCTCTGTCCAGCTGTGTGCTGTTGTGGCGCCAGTAGTAACCTGAAACAAATTGTCGTCATATTAAAGGAATATTGCATGGCGTCATGTGCCCATGTTAAACTCCCCCTTGTGGAAGAGGATCTAATTGAAAACACGGGTTTTGTGGGAAATACGACAGCAAGATTATGCAAACCATATTGATTTTTGTCCATGCTGTTTAAGGTGAGTATTGGTATCGCGGTAATCATTGCATGAGAAGCGAAGCATGCCTTGGGGTAATGTAGATACGCTTGCTAGCTCAGAAGCTACACTGGAACCTTATAAGAAAGCTAGGACGTGCTGATTCAGTCACAGCATAACGAGAGAGAGAGAGAGAGAGAGAGAGAGAGAGAGAGAGAGAGAGAGAAGAATTGAAGACAACATGACCTGCATGCATGCGAAAAACGCTGAGAATACGGAGAGCTATACTGAATTCATTGATTACGAATCAACGATCAACAATGAACATTGAAAGCCATAGAGCGCCAATTAAAATATAATATAATTAATTATACACACCTCCGGAGATCTATATTCTGCGGCCTTTTCCAGTCTCTGTACCCGTCTCTCCAGTACATGTTTGCTCTGAATCCCCACGACGATTCCGTAATAAAGCCAGTTACTAAGACAAGCCACAGTCAAAGCACTCAGCCATATGTATATCACTGCAAGGTGGCCACAGTTATTGCCACTGCATGAACATCGATCACACCGACTGGCCGAGTGCATATGTTTCTGGCACTGTTCTTTGAGTTGTTTGCTGGCACATGGTTTTTCCTCAATGGAACCCTGCTCTTGTGTTGCGGGTGTCGTTTGATCGTCCTCTACGCCTGCCATGCTTCTGGGTCGTGACGTCTGTGATGGTTATATCTTGTAGGTGAGACCATACACGGCTAGTATACAGATTGCAGTGCGACCTTAACCGTCGATAGAGTAAACAATGGTGATTTCCCTTCCTTAGTATCTTTACCTTAACACGCCCGCGGTTAGTGGCAGCGGAGACCTTTGATGGGTGAGAATTAAACCCCCCACTGTACCTGGGAATATCTCTGTTGTTCTCCCGATATAAGGCGTAGACCCTGGGGTGGTGACAGACCGAATACCTGTGGGCTCAGCCGTTACACCTTATCTTAACTGCGTCGCTGTTGTGAAAGAGAATGGACCAAATGTTCTATCTAGTTGATATCAATGCAAAGCGTGTGTTACGTTTGGTATATGACAGCTTACGTATTCTCTAAATGGTTACGAGTTAATGTCGAAAAACAATTTACTTTTATGCTTTTATGGGTGTAGGTAAAGGGGATTTTTGAACAGTCAGCGTATACAATAATAGGTTTACTTATGGTGATTTATTATCGGTTTCGAACTGACGGAAAATCCATCGAAAGTACAGTTTCCTAAGGCGCCCATGAGTCAGCAAATCGATCGATAGACTGCCTGTATTATCCTGCCTTCTCTCATACGGTATTTTTACATATGACTAATTGATCTTGGTTGAACATCTTGGGGCAAATATTACGTGAAATAATTAATAACCACGCAAGTTAATAACCCCAATAAAATCAAATGCATGTACCTGTATATTACTGTTACGTTATTCGATTGAAGATGTACATATTGTTAAGTAACAGTTTCTCCGCTGTATGGGTGTCACCTAAAGCAGTTTGTTTCAGCTGAACAAAAGTCTCTATCTCGCTTATTACGTGTACAATACAGACAAAGAACATGAACTATGTTATACAGGTCGCTGTTTGTTCGGGTTAGGGTTTGATAGACAAGGGGACAGTAATGGCCAATAAATGAGACAACCAAACATTTAACTTGACATGAAATATAAAGCAACAAGCGTAACATTTAAAGGACATTAAGAACAACGAAAAACAGCCAGTGGCTAGGTTGGAGACATAGTAAATAGATGACAATCCAGTCAGTGTCGCATGTCAAATGCATATTGTACACAGTGCCTCTTATAATATTAAATGATACTCATATATCGATATTGTTAGTAAAAATTGAAACCTTGAACCAACATGATAATCAGTGCGAAGAATGAAGAGCAAAATCAAAATGTAGTATAATCAAAATGTTACGCCTGTTCTACGACCCATTTTCTTTTTCTGCTGACTTCGCAGCTTGACCATCCTCTGCTCGCACGCGTCTCGATTTTTTCTTCATACACCACAACAAGCCAATTATGGCAGCAAGGCACAATAATACAATCACTGGGACGGTAACCCCTATTATGACATCCATTTGTTGGCTTGGTTTATTAGAATCAATACCAGATTCCGATTTAATATTATCTGCATTCTTGGCAGTGCCCAGTAGAGTCCCAGTAGCGGAAGGATAGGATGCTGTAGGTGAGACTGTTTCGCTCTCACCAGTCACAACAGATATCGGTGATAAGGTGAAATTAGCTATATACTTTGCAGTGCCTAGTGAAGTCCCGGTAGCGGAATGATAGGATGCGGTAGGTGAGACTGTGTCGTTCTCACCAGTCGCACCAGATTGCGGTGATGACGTCGTCTGCTGAAAGCTGGTTACATTCAGGCAAGTTATGTTGTAATGCCTTTGCCAAGTGTCGTCTTCTGGTGACGTCATGTTGTTTGTAACTGGAAAGATCAGCATGCGCATAGTGAAATGTTGGGACCTATATGGCATTTAAATAGTGAAATAAAACCGCATCTTTTAAAATATTGAAATACACTATGAATTGTGATTTAAAATGGAATTGAAAAAGTAAAAATATATAGGAACAACGGTAATCACAGATAACAAGGTGAGTTATACATGGAAAATGATAGATGAAGGTATAATAATAAATATAGGACTTAAAAGCGAACGTTTAAAAAACTCAAATCTCAATTTTTATAACCGAAAATAGTTTATTGGAAGCATTTTGCTCCTAAAGAAGCCTTGTAAACTAAACAATGGTCTGGGACACTGCAGTTGGAATTGTTTGATTAAAACCAATTTCTATATGAAGCATGGGTTTTTCCTAAAATGGCTGAATATGTAATTAAGTTGGTCCAAATACGCAAACAGAACTTAGGCCTAAAGTTCAACATGTGTAGGGTGCAGTCAGTCCTGGTGATACATGCATAAACACAGTCAAAAATTTAGAATTGGTAATCATTAGGTTACAACATTGTACTAATGAGCTTATGCCAAACATTAAAAAAAAAAAAAACTTTGGTAAATAGACCTACCTGAACAAAGTGCTTTAGAGAAGTCCTCTGCCAGCTCGCCCAGCTCATCAAACGCTTCTACATGGAAAGAATGGGTATGCGCAGGTGGGCTAACAATCGCTTTTAGTTTTAGAAGCTGGCTTGTCTTGTTGCCGACCCCTATCGCATACACTTCAATACCCTGTTGCTTCGCCGCCAGCGCCTTTTGTACAGCAGTGCAGAATGTGTCATCCAGTCCGGTGGTTAGGACGACGGCGATTTTACTTGCGCTCACCCTTCCTCCTTGAGGATGCAGAGGATTTAGAAAAACCTTCTGGGCCAAGTCCAACGCGTTATAAGTTTGGCTTTCGAAAGATGTTTCATTGTGTACGTTCACAGAGCGGATTGCTGCTGATACGTTAGGATATAAGTATCCTTTGTCCAGTGTCACATGACCATCTATTTCCGGTATGAAAGACATAATAGCGATATTGGCGTCACTAGGTCCAATTACCAATGAATCGTTGATCAAATACGCCAAGAAGCGTTTGATCTTTGGTGCATCATCTGGGGAGCCGGTGACATCCAACAGGAATGCAATGTCCGAGTTTTTACACGCTGAAAAACATTACACAGCACTAACCAATGTGTGTTTTACTTTTTTTTTGCAATGAATACAATATCAACCTAACATTCGAAATAATTTAGCAAGATGAAATAAGCTAGGCCGTTGTGCCAGGAATGGAACTACTCGTAGACCGCCCACTTTACTTTGTACAGGTGGCATTATAGTCTCATATACTGACCCCAATCTTCTGACTAAGCCTATCTTGTACCTTATCTTATGAGACTCTGGACTTCCAATCCTAGGACTACCATTCTCGTCACAACGGAATATAATATTTTCCAGAGCTTATCACATTCTGTTTTTGTTATACTTGTTGATCAATTTATTCCAATATTGTGAAACTCAAGCACGATTAGAAGAATGTTATTCCTTCTTTGCTCTCTACGCATAGAACTGTGTCATTGCAATTGGGTTTGTCGTATTAAAGATATGACAGAACTGATCCTCAGATATTATTTTGGGATAGACCTAGCTAATTGAAGTAAATATTTACCTTCAGTTGTGGTATCGCTGCCCTTCGCTCCCCTTCCATCTGAAATAAAAATAATTTGTTTTCGTTTCAACGAATTTCAACTTCGAATATGTTGTCAATTGTATACATAATTCACACTGGGCATAAAAATGACTCGAGCGTACGGCAAATATAATCCCTCATAAATCTTCTTTGTATGTTATTATTATTAAAACTCTACCGTTAAACATTATAACTTAATTTAACATTGATTCACAAGCATTTATTTATATCGGGAATCTTAATAAAAGATCCGATTGTCAAACCTCACATTTTTGATACATAAACATAAACGACGCCAGATGTAAGGCAATGTACAATAGTCCTCGCATTTTTACTGTACCAGTATGATGTAGTTGTTGATATCTCTCGGCGATTTCTTGTGTCAGTCGGATTTGGAAGTCTATGTTTTAAATATGTTTGATGCACTAAGGTGACCAATTTGACCGAGTTTGATGTCTTTACACACATGAAGTAAATAGAAAAGCCTGTGATTTATCTGCCTTATCAAATTGATTGCTGTTTAAGAGATACCGACGTTATGCGTTCAGATGTACTCATCTTATTGAGGGTGAGCCGTCCTCGGTAAATTGGGTATTAATACCCATATCACAAGTCACTACTAAACGATTAGCGAGTGAATGCCTTATATTTTAATAAAAACAGCTTTTTTAATTCGGTTTCTCGTTATCCTGGCAAAAGGTTCATTTGAAACAAACTGCAAATCATTAATTTCGATCGAAGTTATGCAACTTAATGCACTACAGCGGAGAAAGCCGTCTGGATTGCTTAGAGATCCCGCGACTTATTGAACGCCGCGTTATCAGCTTGATTGATGTTCGACAAATACCGATGTTTTCCGTCTGGGTATTATCATTTAATAAGAGTCAAATACTTCTAACAGATGTGTGGATGAGCGTATATTACAACAGACCACAGGTGGAGGGCATGGTTTCCGTTGCTAGAAGCATGAGGCACTTTTAAATGTGCTGTTCATTTTGAGACACATTTTTCGATAAATGTAATTACATACAATTAAGTCACAGAGGCATTTTAAGCAACGCATTCGCTGACTTGCATATGTTTATAAACTAAATAACTAAACTTTTGCTAATGCTTAGATACATTTTATGAACATGCAAACGGTTAATCGGCAAATGGAATTAAGTTCTTGAATCGAAATTAAGCCACATTTATTTGATTGTGCGAATACACTTCCTTTTATGTTATCCATTTTACATTGCAGTGTGAAATAGTTTTCATTTACAATGCGTTTCCTCCATCAGATTCTTATTATACTTATAAATCATGCTATGTTAAGTTGTGTCTACGAGATATATTTATTAAGATGTGACTGAAGTTGGAGGCATATTAACTGAATTGGTATTAGGGAAAACAGATAAAATATGTTTGCACAGGTTCAAGTTTGATGCAAGCTCTGATGCTAGGATGACAATTTTGCTCTACACTAGATGATAAATTGGACCAATATATGACAACGAAAGTGATACTGAAAGATAAATCATCCCTGAAGCGATTACATAATACAGTTTAAAGGTGACCCAATTCCTTTATACTGTCTCCCACTGGTGTTGATGATAAGAAGATCACGCTTTCCTAAACTGTTCAAACAGTATAAGACATAGAATTATAGCAAAAGTGTGGCTAATTTTTATGAAAAATGCTAAAAGAATTAGAATAATAATGATCTGAAACAAGCAACAAACGCACAAATGAAATTTAAATGTTTGTCACTCTTTCTCTTGAGTGGCTCACTATCTACGAGACATTCCTAAAAGGTGGTTTATTCCTATTTGAATAGTTGTGTGAGTTAACAAACAATTAAAGTTCAGTTGGAGAATGAATTAGGCAATTTAACTTGCTTGCTTTGAACAATAAATCTGATTTAAGAATCGACAAAAATGTTTGCTTACGTACATCATACTACCCGTTCACTGCGCTCGGCAGATTGTCTTTGCAAAAAAGTTTCTTAACTGATACACTACTTTTTCATTCGGTAATACACTTTACAGATGCGATCTGCAACGGTTCACTTGCCATATCAAGTGCAAAATCTATATGATATAGCCTGTGTCGGTGTAACGTGACAGAGAGTCCCCATAATAGAGAGTCCGCTCTTCATTCATTTGTACAGGTGAGCCTCGATCGCTCTAGATTTTGACCCACTTAGGTCAGACTAACCCTAACCATAATAACTATATGGAGGGCAGACTTTCTGTTACAAGGACCCTCAGTTATGTGAAACCGTACCCTTTTCACTTTTAGTGGTGATTTTGACTGATTATTCATATCAATCATCAATATTTTCAACGATCAAATTCTTTTCTGTTTTTTTCGATTTCACTTCCCCATTTACTCGCATAAAAGCACAACAATCAAACCCTTTAAAGGCCTGTATTTCCTGTTAAAGTCGCAAACATCATCTCACAAAATCATTGAAAAATACGGCAGATGGTGTAACATTTTATCAAAACTGAGTATTAATTTGAGTGAAAATCAAAAATGAAAGAGATTCAAAGAATACATGTACCAATTGATAATCTGTGCTATTGTTATACTCGACAGCATAAATTTATTTTGTCTGAATATCGCTATGTATCTTCTGAGCTTCTTTCTTCTCTGCAATCTAACATTGGAAAAGAAATACAAGTTAAACATCACAAAGTACGTGTTTAACCAAATTAAATGGCAGCTTAAGATTAACGTGCCTCCAAAAAAGTTACTGTTTCAGCAAACTGGCGCAAATCAGCGATTACAATATTTTAAGTCACATTTTCCAAATAAAAGAACGTATGAGTCCCTTACCCGTCTAGATGTGCATCAATTAAGGTATGTTTCTCTAGCGACAGTACCTCCCCCGGTCCCATCTTCCACAGACCTTTTGTTTTGGCATCTGCATTTTCGGAAATAGCTTACCCAGAAACTGAAAAAATATCCAGTCATTCCCAAATTTCAGATAATATATATATATATATATATATATATATATATTATTACTATTATTATTTCATTCATTTTTGTTTTTACTGTGATCAATAAACATACCAGTGAATGACCAAAATTAATCTATCCGATAGCCATTCCTCTTCACCGGGTTATTGATATAATATATCCGTTCGAACATTGTATACAAGCCAAGGTGCGTGACGACGGTCTTCAATGATTCGTCCTGTTCCATACCGCACTTTGTGTCTTGGATTAGTATTATTTAGAAATAATGTACGTACTGGAAACAATACCCCAAGAACTAACCCATCAAACAGAAAACTTTAGCAGAAAGTTGTGATAACGCTCTAAATACAGGTACGTTTTGTGTTTGCTGGGAATGGTACAAACATTAGGTCCTCTTTTACAGTAATTGGAGTCCTATATCATTACTTCTGCCAAGGAGGTTATGTTTTCACCCCTGTTTGTTTGTTTGGTAGTTTGTCATCAACATAACTCAAAAAGTTATGGATGAATTTCGATGAAATTTTCAGGGTAGGTCAGAAATGGGTTTACTTAGAAGTGATTAGTTTTTGGTGGTGATCCGGATCAATAATCAATCAATAATCAAAGATGAAAAAATAAGTTATGGACCGATTTGGATGAAATTTTCAGGAACTGTCAGAAGTGGGCCAGGAACAGATGATTAGTTTTTGGTGTTGATCCGGATCAATAATCAATCAATAATCAAAAATCAAAAATATTAAATCATTATAGAGTAAAAATTTAGGAGTGAAACGGCATTGGGTGGAGACTTTGCTGCCTTGGCGGAGGTCTGCGCTCTCGGGGTGCTTTTCTAGTTTATATGTATGTACATCCTATTGGAAGGCCTATCAAGATTTACAGGTATACATACGGCGGTGGACGATAATAATCGCTGTACACGGGGTTGCAGTTCTTTCTGCAGCCTCCTTTGCAAGCACAGCCGAATATGTTACACTTCCCATACCCACAATATGGAGTTGTCTGAAACAGAATAATCGCATTTGAGACGTGAACCTGATTACTTTGAACATATGTAAGTATTTTCAAGTGCATAGCCTTCGTTATTTTTTTTAACAGATTTTGATCGCTTTGTCAGTTCGGTAAAAATTGGGGGATAAAATATCTATTTCACTTATTTTGATATTCGATTATATTGTTAAAACAATAAGGTGATGAAAAACCTCATTTCCTGCATTCATGTTTTACTTGACGGATACTAAAGTGAGGGGGAAAAAGACTAAATGGACCAATTCAGATATAATTGCTAACTTTAATAAAATACTATCTAATTCGATCTAATTCTCACGGATTAATACACAGTTGATTCTGTTTTGCAATATGACTGACTGATGACTAAAGAGGAAAACACAATCTTCATCTCTAAATGCGTTACACAGAAATGACATAAACAAGTTTGTGCTTGACATGAAGCATAAATTGTGTCTTACCGGAGTACAGTCCGCACACCACCCGTTCTTGTCTGCTTTACAACACACAGCTTGAGCTCCCTCTATAACAGTGACTATCACGAAGACAGCAACGAATATGGTGACAACAGATGCTGCCTTCATCTGGAATTCCAGAATTACCACCAAGTTATTGAAGTATAGAACACAACACTATTAAACTCTCCAAAGCGGTCTGCTGCATTCAGCTGGAGTGATGCAGGAAGACTGAATAGAAGCGGCTTCGAATGTCCCGTATAACTGAGCTTTCACAGCTTTCTCTCCGTGTGTGTGTCTTTGATGTTGAATCAACAAAAAGGTGAGAAAAAGCAATTGGTGGTGACATAAATCTTCAAAAAGATCGATATGAAAGAGGAGTGCTTTGTGAAATCTGTCAATAGAACATGTAACATTTGAGATTAAGATTAAAACTGCACACCTATCTGAGTATAGCGTTTATTTTTTGTCTAGAGGCAGATTAATGCAGAAATGGATAAAATGTGTTTATTAATTGTTAATGTTTTACCGACGACACCCCACAGCAAAGTCGCTTTGGTATTCTGTCCGGGTTTCACAAGACAACTTTAAGTCTGGTTCCCTGGCTAAGAACTTAATTACCAAGGTTACACGGTCACATGGGCACAACCTACCCTATCAGGAGCAGTGTAACAGCACCATCATGGAAATCCTAGTCAACTGAACCAGGGAACTGACTTAAGTTTTTGTGAAACTGGTGTCCTCCTAACATTCGTGGTCATTTTGAGAAAATACACTTAGTACCCAAAACAAATATACATCATAACGGTATTTAAGATATGGGAAACACTGATTAACAAACTGAATCCGAACAGAGGTATCAACTCTCAAAATGCGCACAGATACACGCTTGTTGTAACGCGCTTCTTACACGGCATGCTTCATGTTTTTATTACTTGCTTAATGTTGTATCACTTACAGCGATTATTCCTTTCCACAAACAGACATTTTTTATAAACAATTCGAGCTTCGCACAAAACGCAACAAGTTGCTTTAAGGCCATTGTAAGACTTAAAGACTTAAAGACATTCAAACTTAACAAAAGTTAAATTGAAGCAGATGGCATTTACTGGTAGGGCCGAAAATACCAATCGCTGTACCGGGGGTTGTAGTCCTTTCTGCAGCCTCCTTTACAAGGACATCCGGGTATAAAACACTTCGATACCTACAATATGGATGACTCAAAAACAAAAAAGTCATAAATTAATAAAAAATGATATTTATTCTTGCATCTTCTTGCCCCCCCCCCCCTTCGATTTCTGGTCCCTCTTGAAATTAGAATTCTGACTAGCTGAATCACAGCTGTAAACTGTACCACCGTTCTCCCTCTAAAATACCAAAATTTTTTGGAATCCTTCACCGGGCCCCAAACCCCACATCATGTGTGTGTGTGTGTGTGGGGGGGGGGGGGGTCGACTTCGCATCCGCGGACCCCCCCCTTTAAATAATCCTGGATACGCCCCTGCCCTGAAACATTTTGTAGATATTATAAGGAGTTAAAAAAACTTGACAAATATACATGTCCATCCTGTGCCAGTAATGCTCGCGCTGTGACCAGAGGGAGGGTGCTGTAGCTGCAGTTTGTATACTGTCCCCTACGTCCCCTGCGATTTTTAGGTGTTGCGGAGGCCGTAGAGGTGTTGCGGAGGTCGTAGAGGTAGAGGAAAGTCTGCCTTGCGAGTCGCAAGGGCCACATGAGATGTCCTTTCAAGCAGGGGCGCTAATTGCAAGAGTTTGTCTTGCTTCCTGTGTAAGTGGCACACACTCACCACCTACGAAGGGAATGCAACGCACGGCGAAAGTGGTGCCCTTTTGCGTCAGTTTTGCTTCACACTTGCGTCACACGTTTGTGGTGACGTACTGACGGCGTACGTCAGTTTTGCTCCCTGTTCTTCTCTTCTTTCTTCTTCCTCCTCCCTTTTTTCTACTATGTAATCTTTTTTCTCTTGCCTTTTGGAGGCATATTAGAAACTAAATTGAGCAAACATGTGAAAATTTTGAAAGTTTTTGTATCCATTACACAGTTGACGTTTATTGTAAAGACACGAGCGTGCGCTTTTTATACACTAGGCGTGGGGGTGACGCACGTGCGACGCATCCCCGGTGTGCTCTCGACTTTGTTCGTTAGTTGTGAGGGCGTGCGCCTTACTCAACACCCAAAGGGCACTTGCTCCTTCATTGCTTGCGACGTGCGTCTTGCACAACGCGCGTCTCTCTTGCTAACTCCGTGCGAGGGGAGCAAGTTACGTTTGCGGCCTCGCTGTTCGCAGGCTATTCGTAGAATCTTTTGGACATGTCCAACATCCTCCGTACGTGCTTACGGGCTGTCTGCAAACTCGAAATTTCGTAAGAAGGACTTGCGTGGGAAGTGAGATTCTGCGCAAAATTTGGACAGTAGATATATACGCGTTAAAAATATAATAGCATTCACCTGAGTACAAGTTCGACTCGGGGACATTTTTATACAAGGTGATACAAAGGAAGTGTGATGCTGAGTGGGCATGATATCCATCAGACTTGCCCCCTTCTCCCTGGCACAAACAAACATATTTTTTCAGTTGGTATATCTCAAGTATAAAGTGTACGATAACAACCCTTAAACAATCGAAGGCAACAATTACAGCAAACTTCAGGGAAATCCCCAAAGAGGTATGTGTTCGAGTGTTCGACAATTTTGCGTGACATATGCTAGTGTCCCTCAGTGTCGCTGAGGCCATTTGGAACATATTAAAAAAAAAA